ATATACAGATACGTTATGATTTTCGTTTGAATTTCGTCTTTTTTAGAAGTTTTTCCCAATTTTTCGTTTTTTATTATTAAATGAGTAATGAGTAAGTAAAACTTAGCAATAACAATCACTACGTTTTCAGTATAATTCTTGACGAACTTAGTAGTGAAAGGCGAAATGTCTGCCATGAAAACTTCAAAAATSTATGAATCAGGCAGTTCTGATCTCTTTTGTATATGTAACATCGAGCATATATATCATCACATCTCTTGAAGTCAACTTAGCATATTCCCATATTTATTCCCGTATTCTTATATTTTTCTTCCTTTCTGTGGAACYCTTGTGCAAATGAGTTAAAAAAAATGACTTTTGCACTTATAATCAAAACTTGAATTTGCTATGAAAGAAATTGAATTCGACGTCTGATCCAAGCCTTATTTATAGATAACAATTTTCAAATATTTTCGAGCAATATGTTCATTGAATCGCTGCGTCCACCACTGTTTTCCACTAACGATATCCTATTGATTCAAATAATTCTAGTATGTTCTTATCCTGACTAATACCTCTAGAGTCCATTGAACCACAGTTTCACGGATGTATGCCGCCCGTTAGCTGTGGTCAAGAATATGTCTCGCTTACACCTCAAAAAATRACCACAGTCTGAGTTYCAAACCTCAGTTGCGACTGAAAGAAAACGAGTTTCAGTTTGCAGTGGTTTCTACGAATAAATAAACCGATTGCGTGAAGTGAGGATCTCCGCATCAGCTCTTTTCTACACCGCGGAAGCCGTTTATAAGCTTAAGGCAATGATACACTCGATGCKTACYCCTCCTACTGCATGGGGAACGGTTGTAAACAGTTTACAAACATGACTTCCATAAATGACGCATTGCAAAGGGATCGATAGTCAACAGTGTTGAAAATATAAGAAGAYTTCGAGTTATTTGAATGTAAGTTTTGTTTCTTTTGGGATTTAGGATTGTAAAAAGACAAGATTGGTTAAGGTCATTTCCTAAAATGGTGYAGCCCAATGCGTTGTGGTTTAGTGGTTTCAATGGAATCAACATTTTGCATTTCTTTTTTATTTTATATTCTATTTTAATTTTTTATTATTTMATTTTTTATTATGCATTGTTTACACCAAACCCTATGTAACTTGCTTTTGCATCCAATAAATGTCTTCAGTAGTGTGAAGTTAAAAAACCGTGAAATAGATATTACACTAATACATCTTAGTACGCTCATTGKTTTCTTGTGTCTAGAGYWCAAACATTAAATGTGTGCAACWCTACAAAATAGTGTTGATTAAACAATAGAAAACAATAGAATTAGCATAATTTAGCAGTACTTAGTGGTATTTATGTTGCACAGTTTTAGTGTTTGTACTCTACTATCACACTTTAATAGTCGGGTTTTGTTTCACGGATTTAAGAAACTCACTCTATGATCAACTGGAATATTCCTCATAAAAGATTTTCTTGAAACRCAGGAGCAATAAGCTTAGGGGAAAGCTATTTGTTTATGTTTTCGTTCAATGGTTTAGTAAAAACACGTGTTTCCAGAAAACTCGTCATCTCGTGGGTGGGATGACAGTTTCAAGGGTCCGTCGTGTGGTGCATCTCAAGGTCATGGCCTTTCAAATATATGAGCATTTTCATTATTCAGAATTTTATTCCCAATGTAGATTTGCTTATTGGTGCTTATTGCATTACAAAGAAATTGTGAATAGAGAATTGTTATTGGAACGGCAAGCTGATGTATCCCAACCACCATTTCGAGATTAGCTCCAATAATCTGAACCTTTGCCATTTTAGTTTGATAACGTTTCTTAAMTTTGGTGTATTCCACTTTACCCTTAACATTACCATGTTATTATAAATTCATTGATATTACTATTTCCATTTCAAAACTGCTATATTTTGTCTCCGTTTAAAGGACCAAGGTCGACCGGCATCCCTTTCGAGCTTTTGCTTATGTCTGAAAAAAAGAATACGTCGTAATAGACTTCTGAMGMTTTTACGACACWTACTTGATTTACAATGCATTGTGGGATCAGTTATTAGAGAAAACAAAATAAAKCTGTCATGTTTTTGCCCCAAAACGTATCCTACAATGCATTGCGTATGCGATATATGACGTCAAAGCATCAGAGGTCTATATATGCAAACCTTTCTCTGTAGTATCTTATGCTCTATGAATGGAGACATTGTAAGATTCGATCTGTAAAACCGTAAATCTGTAAATATTTGAGGTCATCTCATTTTCCATATATGAAAGATCTTATACACGACCGCATTGAATGCTGGTGGGCCATGGCTCTTTGATATCCAACACACTTTCTTCCTTTTTTCCAGAATGTTCTAAGAAACCAAATAATGACTCAACATATWAGATAATCGTCTGAATGCAGATTACAAACCAATGATAGGGAAATATAATCGCCTCTTTGATATTATTTTCTCGCAGGTTAAATGAGTGGGACTGGTTTTAGATTCAAGTGTTAACATAGATCCCCCTTCCAGATTGAGATAGCTCTGTTACAATGTCATTTATGAACTCATAGTTTCAAAACCCTGATGGCTGTAGATAGTATCTATGGATGAGATT